ATACACACACAAGTTAAACCTGCTGTGACAGCAGTCAGGGACACCCAGTGTGGTCACATGTCCTGTTGCTCTGACTCAGATATACACAAATGCACAACCTTTCCTTTTCTCTGTGGTGTTCCTTACCGATTTACTGTATTTTTCTCCCTGTGTGAAGAGAAGCGAAGTAAGCAGAATGTAAAAATGTCCTGTTTTAGGGCTGATGGGACAAGTTAGTTTGGCATAAATACAATGACTGTTGGGCCAAAGCCAATGATGTTAGTCTTACCCATTCAGCTTTAAAGTTCAAATAACAACAGAATTGATAGAGTATCTCTAAATGATAAAACATTTCAACTCTGATAGCAACATAATGATAAAGGAAGTCAGTTTCACAATACCAATGAAAAAAAACAAACGATTGAAATTAATTTATTGTTGCTGTGTTTTCCAAGACATAAAGCAATGATGAGAATGCAATCAGCCACTCCTTTTTTTTTTTTTTGACAAAAGTTCTGTACTTTAACTCTACACAGATCTACAGAATTTTATTTATTTATTTTGGTAAGCATCTTAAATAAATGTAATTTTTTCCATTAAAACTGAAAATGAAATAAAGTATTTATTTATTTATGAATACTCTATACTGGGCTTTTATGTCATATATTTATGTCATTAAAAAGCTGCTTTAGAGTTGCTTGCTACCACCTCACTTGCATTTTCAACACAAAGTCAGATGCAAAAGCACATTATCTGCGACGATTCTGTACCACTCTACCCAACAAAACAGAGATTACATCTAACATAATGCTACATGTATTGCTACATAATCCTTAAGCTTCTTATATAATGTGTTACGGTGGGAACATCAATAAATCATAGTTTTATACATTGCACTTAGCAGAGTAAAAACCACAAACAGGCTCTTTGGTTCCATTCCTTTCCTCTTGGTTTGGATAGCAATTTAGCGAGCATAAATTTTGACCACAAATTACCCAACCTCACTTCTGTCTTCATCCAAACATCATGATGTCAGGATGAACTCAGGAACTCAACTTGATGCAACTAATCAAAAAGCACATTCAATTCATTCCGAGCCAAATTTAGAAAATAACGTCAAATATGAGCAAGTTTAACTTTTAACTAATTTACAATGAACATTATTTAAAGTAATCCCCATGTGTGTTTTGCTTGCATTTGAGCATGAGTAATAACTAGAGTCAAAAACTTTGACACAACACCATGTCTTATATTGTTTGTGGCCAYTGAGGGCAAAAAGTGTTTTTCCTATGTAGTTTGATTTCACAACACTCAATTGTTAATTACATCTAAATGCCTCCCAATCTTTTATTCATGGCACAATCTGACCTTGTGCTGTATTCGAGTCTCAAAAAACAATGTCAGAAAACAAAACACGAAGTTCTGATTGTCGCGTTAACAAAACTTGCACAACTTCCCGCCTGTTTTTCTTTGATTTTTCCCATTTGGAAAATTTTGTTCTCCTTTGTGTCAAGGCCCACTACTCTTTTGTCAGCTAGAAAAAGGTGCACTCATAGTTAATACAAACTTATAACTTCTCAGGACAAAAGATCCCAGTAAATAAACAGTTTTCAGGGCATTGTTTGAGCAAAGGTTAGCTCAAACCTCTGAATGTGCACCACACACTTTTAGTTGGACTGCTTTATTAACCAGGTCATGTCGGAAGAAGGACCTGCAGTAAGACTCTGCCTAAAACTGAGATCAGTACGTACAGCAACAGAGCTGAAGATTAAAAAAAAGGAAGTGACAACATTATTTACAACACTTCTGTGGCATTTCAKCTGATACATGAGCATTTTGGTCCATACTAATTAGTTTTCATAATGTGATCTTCTAAGGTGCTTGAAACTGTAATTATCAGTTACATACAGAAAATAATCTGTGAAATGACATGAATTTTATAAAGTCCTAAGTTAAGTGAGATAAATTCAACAACATACACCTCTGCTTAATTAAGCTTCTAAAAGCATTTATTTAAAAGTGCCAACTTAAAAAGAACAAAAAAAAATCTCACAATTAAGCTCAAGCATGTTCACATAAAACAGCTTTAAAGTTTATTCACAGGCCCATTTCTAATAAAACCTGTTTTTTTTTTCTTTTTTTTTTTCACCTTGGCACCATTTGCTGCCACCATTTTTTAGAGTTTKATCCAGAAGCCACCAGCTTTAAACACAGCCTCCAGGAGGCTTTTACTACTGCCTGGCAGGTGGGCTGGAGAAAGAGTGGGGGTCAGAACAGAACTGGTGTCAAAACCAGAYGACAAAACAATGTCTATGCTCACGCCAGCGAAGCAGATCACTGATTTGRTGTTGTCTTTAAGAAAAAAATAGCCTGATATGTGGGGGAAAAAATCCATCTGTACTTCTTCCCACTGCTTTTTTGATGTGAGCTAAACAAAAACTGGAGCAACCCTTGCACTTTTTTTTTATTTTATGAAGGTATTTCTTTCTCTTTTTTTCTGGCTTCCTTGCTTAAAATGATTGTCTGTTTATAGTTAACATGTTTGAAATAAACCAAACAAGCAATACCAAACTAACAGAGCTTATAAAAGGAGCCAACAGGGATTTAATTTTGGAGCAAACTGACTGAATTTGCTTTTCAATGGCTGCAAACTAATTAATTATTTCATGCAAGAGTGATACCTTCCTAAATATGAAGAATTTTCATCTTGTTGTTTTACTTGCCCATTGCAAGATACAAATTACAACATACTTTTATGGATAAAATAAATGAGCTAATTCTGTTTACAACATTCAAAAGGAAAGGCAGCAAAAATAATCAACACTACAAAATGCATTGTAGGGAATTTGCATTATTCTCACTCCAAAGGCAATAAGGTTTTTGCCTTTGCTTGTGTGTGTGTGTTCATCTTTTCTTGTTGTGTTAACAAAATATTTCATAATCTCTGGAAGGATTTAAAAAAACTCTCAGAAAGTAATCATAGATACCAAATTTCCCTCTGGGATCAATAAAGTAATTTTGAATTGAATTGAGATACAGTATAACCACAGCTGAAAAATTTTAGAGCCAGCCCAATACTAAATGGCTGCCAAAGCAACATGACAGAAAAGTAAAAACACACAAAAAATGTTTATAGCTAAATAACTTCTATGAATATTGTGCTAAAAGTTGGTGCGTTTATACTTGAGGGAGGGGATGGGTACCTTTGACATTTGAATTGATTCGGTACCAATATCTGGTACCTGAGAATCGGTACCGATACTTAACTGTACTAATTTTCGGTACTTTGTGTGTGTTGCTTTTTTAATAATATTTTTTATTTAACATATTTCTCAATTTATAAAATTAACAAATATCAAGACAACATCCAACTCTTTGTATTGTAACATCAGCTGTTTAACTAATTTCTTTAAAGTGAAAACTCTGGAAAACAACAAGACTGTTTTGTCTTATTGCACAAATTAATATCCAGCTCCTCGTGTTTCTATTGATGTCATTTCCCCGCTAGAAAAATTGCGTGTTAGAGGTCCATGGAAGGCAAGTAAGTTTAAATCAAATAAACAAAAGAGGATTAAGTTAAAATAAATAAAAGGTATTCAAGCTACATTTTGAACATCCGAAACGATCCCAACGCTTTAAAGCTGGATGCTTGTGCTCTTTCAGGTCAGACGCGTTCAGTGTGTCGGGAAGCGCCTCTGTTGTTTTCCTCTGCCAGTCTCTGTTTAATGATGGATGAAATAAAGAAAGTGGCGGTACTTTATTTACTTTGAGCAAGCAAAAATCATGCTCACAAGATAATTAATCCACCAGATAATTCAGAGGCGATCTGTTCGGCGAGTTTTCTCCAGGAGCTGCGATGCCCACTTTTAAGCTACGCCAAACTCTACTGAACCAGCGGCTGCTGACGTCATTACGCTCTTGTGCAATGCTGTGTTCAGGACAAGCATGGAAAACTCACCACTCTTATGAATCTTTATGCCAATATGGTCGCAATGATGTGTTTAGGTACYGAAACATGGTACAGTTTGATGTTACGTGAATAGGTTCTCTTTAGAACTGACAGAATTCGRTCTGTACTTAAAAAGTATCGAATTCGGCACCTATCCCTACTTGAGGGTAATCTGCAACACCTCACCTGAGAGTTACACATGTACCACTATCATTACCTGTTAGAGTTAATGTGAGTTCTCTGGTAACAAAATTAATATCCTAGAAATCAATGGGCAGCTTTTATTGAAACTCTCAGAAGGAAACAATTGGATACRATACATCCACAATTAATTAACATTAACTAATTCTGGAATCAACCTGATTCAGGGGCATCTCCAACCTTAGAAAACACAAACTAGAACTGAGTCAGTTGTACAGATATGAAGCTAAACTTTGATGTGGCAGTAGCTGAGATTCATCCTCAGCACACACATCAAGCACTAACAGATGTTGTGAGATCTTGCCATATTAAGACTGTGCACAGCATTATTTACAGGAAGCTATAACTTTGTCCCTTCTCATTAAGAGATGATCTTAGTTTAAAACACCGGCATATTCCTTTGAGAAATGTTGTCTTTAATTCTTTCTAGAATATTATTCTTACTTCACATCACTTTTGACAGCTACTAAGCACCACAAAATCACAAACAGAAAAATGCTGSGTATCCCACAATGCCTTTGATCAAGTGTTGATTTTGATTTGAGGAATTTTCATTTTCTCTGTAAGRACTGAATAAATGAGGAGAGGCAAGAATAATCTAAATAGGCAGAAGTGCGGACCGTACAGCCAAGAAGAAAGATCACAGCACCAGCCAATAAACAACAGACCTAAACACAGCACATTAACACAGCAACACTGGGAACTCAGTGTAAACTTTAAAAGAAGCAAGAGAGCAATAAGTTACAACCAGCTGGGGATTAGTTAACATGTGCTTAATATTTCTGATTAGCACTCAATCAATGTACAGTATCAGATTCTCCCACTCCACTCCTTTTACACACACAGATAACTGAGTGACAGCTTCACTGACCTTCCATTGCATACTTCATATCCTGGGCAAAGAGGTTCCACATGATCTCAGCGCTGATCTTCCCCGCGTTCAGCTCCTGGGGAAACCTGGCAGGACGGAGACAGATTCCAATCACACTCATTTCCGTATAAAGGCACACTCAAGTGGATGGCCTAATGGCCTGCCCCMGACTGAAATTCTAGTAAATAACAGATGTGGAAGAGGATTTGGTTGGTGTATCTCCAAATCAATTCATCTGCAATATCCAGAGCTGGATAGATTGGGGCTGAAATTGAGATGCATGCCTAAAAATGAGGAAAAAGTGCAGGAGGAAATGTCAAATCTAAGGAGAGCCACAGAGGGTGGCAATGTCTTTGGCAAGTAATCTGTTCTGAATGTCTATGGATTTTCAGTCAAAGCTTAAATGTGAGATGTCAGTGGTTTAATTATCCRTATCGTGGCACAGGCACGGGAGGACATTTATAGATGACAAACCCTGTTCTGAAAAAAAGGTTAATTTATCTGGAAATGTTTTCTCTTTTGCTGGAAATTGTTGTGTCTCCAGCATCAAACAAATTTGCTCGATGATTTCTACTGAAATGATCGTTTTCTCTGTGGGACACTTTTGCAGAAAAGTAATGCACAAAATATATGGGCTATATACAGTATGTGGTTTATGTCAAGCAACTATTATAAAAGCCCTGAAACAATTGCTTCCTTTTTTGACACCATCCATCTCAAAATATTTTATTTGTCTGCCTACATTATTCCTCAGTGTTGTCATGCACCCACTTGGTGGATTGTGAGTGTGGAAAACAATAAAACCCTTTTGGGGTTCAAATGGATATACATCTGCAGTCCGTACACATGCTGTATCTGTTGATGCTTTACAATTTACTGCTATGTGGGGAAAGCAAGCATTGTCTGCAAAATATTTGAGGAAATAGTCTTGAAGAACCACAGCATATGGGTTTATTTTCCCAATCATAACATCAATTCTGTTGATTTGTTTGCTGGATCAAAATTCCTGAGGCTTGATTCCCACATAAATATTCTCAGGAGAGAGCAACAGACTGACAGCTACTTCCCTCTGGCTGCAGTGCCTATTATTTAAAGGCAACAAGTCCACTCATGGCTTTTTGCTGAAAAAGCATCAAACTTGCTGTCACTCTGCAGCTTGACCATGGAAAGGTGGAGATATTGGGCATGAATATTGCAGACCTATCATTAGTCAGTGTAAAAGAGAAAGCTCAGGGCATAAACAAAGTCTTAATAAGCATCGTAAATCAGCATGGAAAGGCAAAAAAAATGGAGTGAGTCAAATAGGAGGGTAGGAAGTATACAGGCAWAGAAAAATTCACATTTCTTCAGTGGAATGCAATGCCTCTTGTAGTCATAGCTRTACAAATAGKTATAGAAAAGTATACACTAAAAAGGCAGAAATTCTTTATTCTTCAAGCAAATATTGTATTTACTACATGGTTTTGCAACAGTGCTGTGCTGTCTTATCTTTTCTCGATGTGTCTCTACACAGCGCATTTTTCTCGCCCTGATTTTCATGGTTGCTTTGCAGTCCACCTACACCTCAGCTAAAATACGCCAGTCACCCACAACAATAAAACCACCAACCCTATAATGAGTGGGTCTCATTTTGTTKCTGCAAAAACAATACAGACCAATCAGAACAAAGAACACCGTGGCGTGTTCTGGATTTGCTGGTAATCAAAGAAACTCTGTGGATTGTGAGGTGGAGWCTCTGCAGATGGCGCTTACTTCCTACAGATGCTTTCAGGTCCCAGCAGGTTATGTCAARTTAGTATCTGGAGTTATGGAAACTGAGAGAGCACCTCAGACTTTAAACAATTTCTAAACAGTTTTCCGGGGACCTATTACTGTCCTGCTGAGTCAGCGTTGTTACTGTTGGAAAATGTGTCATTCGGGGCTTTTAATTGGTCTTCAGAAATGTTTGGGTAGATGACAGGAGTCAAAGCAATGGATGCAAGGTTTCTCAGTACAGCACTGTGCTGTAAATAAAATAAACAGTATTTCTCATTTTACGTGTCTGGAAAATTTACACCAGGGATATATGTCAGCCATAACATTATGACTACAGAAACAGCATTTTTTACTATATACATTTAATGTTGCACAATTATCGACACTTGGTGCAATTAATATAGTATCTGTACTACATTTCTTTTTGTATATAATAATTTGCTTTGATGGGAGAAAAAATGCTCATCAGAGTGTGATTGTTTGGAAAATTTACACCAGGGATATATGTCAGCCATAACATTATGACTACAAACAATCACACTCTGATGAGCATTTTTTCTCCCATCAAAGCAAATTGTTATATACAAAAAGAAATGTAGTACAGATACTATATGAATTGCACCAAGTGTCGATAATTGYGCAACATTAAATGTATATAGTAAAAAATGCTGTTTATGTATWTATTTTTTTCACTTCCAAAATAACTGCAAGTATGGGGTTCGTATTTTCTGACTAAAAATAGTTCGCATTTTTCCGTTAAGTGCATTTTCAAAAAAAATGTGTTTGAATTGATCTCTTGKCAAAAAAAAATACATCTCATGTCAAATAAAGAAGTACAGTACATACTGGTTAATGACTGGGGTGTAGGCTGTGCGGTCCTCATCGATTACAGACACCATGAGAGTGATGAGTTTTGGCCAGAAGTCCAAGTTCTTGATGGATGGACCCTGCTCCTCTCTGGGAAGATCCTGCTTCCGGCTCTATAGAGAGGGGAAAAAATAAATGATAAGGTTCAACATATAATGTCTAAGAACTGAATAAAAAGATCAATTTCATTTTAATTTAAAACTTCAAAAATATATTCTGTTTTGAATGAGCTAAGTATGCCGTTCATACAGTGCTCTGTTTAACTGTTGGAATAAAAACTGGGACAGAGGAAGTTAGTTTTGTGGCAGATGTCCATGATGACGTCAGTGACACTAAATAGCTTAAAATGAGACCCTCTAACTAAACTTTAATTTATCCCAGATCAGCCAAAGCCACAAATGTTAGTGTCCTAAATTCAAATATTTATARTAAGAAAAATAAAAAGATTTACATGATTTGTAATCTGTTTTTGTTGAAAGCCTAATGTTTAATTTTTTTTTTTTACTAATGATAACTTAATTTGTTAGCTCTGTGACTGATTTATGTTTGCAAGTGTTAGGGCCTTACACAAATAAACTACATTTTATAGATGTGGCTTTATCTTACTGAACATTTCTTGTTCTGCTAATGCACCACTAGCGTGATGCAAACTGACTTTAAAAGATGGGTTTCACTGCTGCAYACAAGCAGTGTACTTTTCAAGTCATAGTCCACTTAGGAATTTTTGTTTTGAAGATTATGTAATAAAATGTGCTTTAAGCTGTGGTGTTTGAATTGTTAGGTGGTGCTGTCATGTAAAAATATACAAATTATCAAATCTAAATCTTTTTTACCAACATTAATCTACTTAGCTTCATYAGAAAGTGACAAAGTGTCTGCTTATTCATTGAAATGTAATAAAAAGACACATTTCCCCCCTCAGTAAAAAGGTCTACAATCAAATCAACCAGCATTGATATCCTAAGGATCGCAGCTTCTTAATTAAATCTAAAATACTGGGTCTATTTGTAGATGTCTGTGTGTGTGTGTGTGTGTGTGTGTGTGTGTGTGTGTGTGTGTGTGTGTGTGTGTGTGTGTGTGTGTGTGTG